ATCTAGCTATCTATCGCTATCTCTATCATCGCTCTCTCTCTCTCTCTCTATCTCCTCTCTCTCTATCCTCTCTCTCATCTCTTCTCTCTCTACTCTCTATCTCTCTCTCTTCTCTCTCTCTCTCTCTCTCTCTCTCTCTCTCTCTCTCTCTCTCTCTCTCTCAAAGTCAGGGCCCAGCTGTGTGTGAGAGACGGATAAAGCCTTGTTGCGTTTGAAGTCGGCGCATACAATAGTAGCGTTTATAAAATCTGATTATCATACGGCCGGTGACATTTCTGATAAAGACGAGCTCGGCTCACCCTCGTTCCCTTTGATGTCCGGGGGCCTTATTCGCCTTGATTCCACTTAATTCCAAATCTCATTACCCTGCCCCATTGACCATCTGATTAGCATGAGCCCGGCTCATTTTGACACTTCTTTTGATGTATGGAAAGTGCAACAGCGGTTTACACTAGCGAGCCCATTCCACAGTTTCCAGTGTCATCTCTGGGTTTGGCTCGTCCCTCGCGTTTGAAGCCGGCGGTGGGGACAAAAGGAGAATTATTTCAAAATCAGATCATCCAGCGGGCCACATGATTTCTATCCCGAGCTGTTTTAAAGAAGCGCTTTGATGTCGGCTGGCCCGGCAATGAGCACAATGGGAAAGTTTGTGCTGCTCTGCTGTCACTTTGACACTGTGTTTTTAAAACTGTTTTTTTTGGGCATCCTGCTGAGGCATTCTGGGAGTCTGCGGGATGGCACTGGGCTCACCAAGTGCATTGTGGGACTGTGGGAGTCTGGCATTTGGTTGGTTTGTCCTGTGACTTTTTATTTTAAGAGTGTTGCTGATATGTTTCTGTTGTGATGGATCTATGATAGTTTAAAAGCTTCAACTACAGTTCTTCAATCATAAAGTCAGGCTTATCTGTACCTAATGAATTCCAGGAGAACGGCAGTAATCAAAAAGAACTGCTGGACATGTCAGTTTAAGGAAGGGGATGAAAGCTCCAGGAAGCGGAGAACAGGCCAAATAAAAGTCACTTCTCAACCAAGCATGAGATGAAAAACAAGAGAAAAGGGAAGCAGGGAAAATAAGTCCAGCTCACTCCTTTCTAATAGTGCTGAGCTATTTTATAGTTTCCTATATGGGACGCGTCCACAGGAGTGAGTCGGCTTCTTTGTAAGTGTCAGCTCTCGGAGATTCTGAGTCAGATAGCTTCAAATAGCAACGTGCTGATAACATTTCAGTCTGATGATTATCTTTGTACATTTTTAAAAATGAGCAACCCTGACAGCTGCTGGATTGAAATAAAAAGTAATATTTAGTAACATTACTAATAGAAATAATGATAAATGTCTATAAAAAGGTTTGTTTACATCACACGTTAAATGCAACCATATTTATGTTTGAAATGCCTCTCTCTGTTTCTGCCGGGAAAAATATAATAAAAAGTGTCTCACTTATTTCAAGGTGTTTTATTGAGTCCAGCGAGTGGCAACGTAGGATACTTGCAGTCATTAAAACCAAAAATATACGATTCAAATGTTTTTACTTTTCCCAGTACCGCCCGTCACCGCAGGAATTTACTCAATTGAACAATTAGAATGCCAGAAATCCTGGAAACTTGGCGTTTAACATCAGCACACTGATACACTCGTGTGACCGCAGATAATGGGATCTCAGCGGGGTTTACTGTGGGATAAGGGTCTGAAGACAGATTCTCCGTCTGTGTGTGTGTGTGTGTGTGTGTCTGTGTGTGTGTGTGTGTGTGTGTGTGTGTGTGTGTGTGTGTGTGTGTGTGTTAACCACTGTCTCGCACAAACTTGTAGTCAGACGACATTCCAGACGAACTCCACCAATGGCACACAAACACTCCAGCCTCACACACACAGCCTCACTACGGAGTGCTTGATGGTTGGCGAGGGGGAGGCTGAGCATTGCATTTTGGGAATAGCCCTAAGCATGAGCTCGCCTTCTTTCGTACCCTCCTGCTGCCTCCTCCACCATTCCTCTTTCGACATGTTGGTGATGTCACCCTGATCTGACACTACTCACATCCCCCGTCCCTTCCTCCCTCCCTATTTTCTCATCCTTCCTCCCCTTCTCACTGTCACCCATTTTACTGTAAGCCATGTGACTGACAGCTGCAGCTGCAAGTGCTTCAGCGGGCCTTCGCTTCAGCTGTTTGGCTTTGTAAAGATCTGACCCTCCCTCCAGCCTCCCGCCTGCAGGCCTTCCCCTAGCAACAGGCCTCAAGTCAGGCCAAAAAAAGACACCCCGATCATTTAGAGGATTGACTCTGCACGCTTTGTGTAAGTTAAGGTGAACTTGCTCCAACCAGAAGAGGAGTTTGGGCTACAGATCAAGACTGATAAGAAACCACATCAACAAAAGCTCAACACTTTTGGGAACAGATGTCAGCGTTGCTTAATCAAACCTCAAATTCCCCTTTAATAAGTGTACACAGCTTACAGAAATGGTCTGACCACATAAGTGCATCATAATCAATTCTGAGAAGCGGTCAGATGACACATAAGGAGTGCAAAGGTGTAACTCACCACTGAAAATGATATGACTATGAGCAACATTACAGGAACCAGCAGCTGCACACTTTACCACCAGGCAGTGGGCCGGCATGCTAGCAAGGTGTGAAGAGATGCACAAAGTGAAGCTATCGGTTAGCACTGCGCTAGCTTAGGGGAGTTTAACTTTCTTGTTTCAGGTTGAGTTAGATGTTAGAATGTTTCCTAGTCACACAAATGGAAAAAGCTATGGCACGCTGGAAACAACCGTCAACACAACAGATCATACAAATGTGTGTGTGGGTGTAAGTGTGTAATCAGAAACCATGAAGCATCGCCATTTATCTTGTCATAAGAATTGTTATAAGCTTTCCTATCAGCTTAAGCCTTTTGAATTTTTATCTTAGGCCTATTTTGGTGTCACCTTCGTAAGCTGTTCATTGGACTGTGTTTGTTTTGTGGGCCTCCAATTCCTTTAGACATTGTTGAGCATCATAACAACACAGCAAACTGTTGCTACTGAGATAACATTAATGACTTAAATGAAAGTGTTGAAAGAATAATGAGGTCTGCCTTGCGCAAGTATGGTGTTAACCATTTAGGGCGGGTCAGGAGGCGGAGAAGGTTTTCCACCAACTGGAGGATTAGTGGTCGTGTACCTGGCTCTTCCAGTCCGCATTTTGAAGATATTGAACCCCTACTTGCTCTGTAAGGCCGATGTATGAACGTGTGTGTGAATGGGTTAGGGTTAGCATGTCATTTAAAAGTGTTTTGAGTGGTCGGATGCTATATGAATACAATCCCATTCAAGTAGCAGTAGCTCAGTTATTATAATTTCATTATCTCAAATGTATCATCCAACTAAAAAAGTGTGATGAACTAGTATCACCATAATCATAAAATGGAACATGATACCTTTTTGAGCATTTCCCTCAGAGGTAGCATTTACTGTCAACCAGAGTGCAACTTGAATAAAGTCCTCACACTACCGCATGACTTTCCCTCAACGGCGTAAGAACTAAACTGTTGATAAACTACCAACTTGACGTTGGTGACATCCACAAGCGCTCACACGCCCCACCTAAATAAGGCAGTAAATCTGGAGTGAGATGCCAGTGCAGGCAGTCCCCACAGGCACAGTTTCACAACCGGGAGCAAGCGAGTTGGAAGTATATACGAGCTGACACTCGGAGCAGCCAGCACTGCTCACTGTAGACACAAGCACATGGCAAGCTAACAAGAGCAGTCAGTTACTTGACCACATACTAATCGCTGAAGACAGAGCTAAATATTTACGCAAACGGAGCCCAAGAGGAGAGATTTCCAATGTAGATCAGTGTAGTACAGTCACATTCATAGCCAACTTCTGCAAAGGCATATGCATCGTCCATACACGTAAAGAGACTATTTCAGGAGCATTTCAAGGAGGCCAATGACCTTAGAATACAGAAACAGAGAGCCAGATCATTCTGGTACTGTTAGCACCAGAAGCAGTAAAGGAAGTACTTACAGGTAGAGAGATACAATCTTGGAAGCAGCCTGTCCTAAATCTGGTATAGACGTGAGCTCATTGTGGTCCAGCCGCCTGAAAGGGACAAAGCAGTGGGTTAGAGAACAACAAATACAAATAAAGACATACACAAGAATGATATGTTGTTATGAGGTGAGAGGACTTCACAGGCATTTTCAAGTAGTCAAAAGTTCAAAAAGTTAAATAATGAAGAGTGCAGAAAAGAATTAAGTAGTCATTTTTTTTTACATCTCAAAATCCAGACACTAGCATAGAGCCTGGGTTAAAGCTAAGCTACACCTATGTTAGTGACGTTTTCATTTCTATAGAAAATGTGCATTATAGCTGAGATTACACAGTGTCCTTGGTGCTATTCCACACTTTTCATGAAGATGGATTCAATCAAAAACTTTAATATCGATTTTAGAATTAAATATCTAACACACGACTTGTCACTTCTGACGCAGAGCAAGTCATCCTTTTAAAAGACCAAAATAACACGGGAGTAAAACAGATGTCCAGGAGCGTATGACCTGCCAGAGATGTCACCAGTGTGTGTATCACCAGTTAGCCTGTGCGTGTGTGTGTATGTGTCTTGTGTACTGGCGCTGAGTGACACAAAGCCAAGCCCTCTCCTCACCGTATAAAATATTTACAAGGCCAGCGTTGGCCACAGTATCGGGTGGTGGAGCGGAGGCTTAATATAGAAAACCACCACTTTATTCTCAATTGGACTTAGTTCAAGGAAATACATACGAGGACGTTACTAGGAAGTAGAGTGCAAACCGTTTGTCAGAATTAAGTCATTGATAAAAACGCTAAAAGAAATTGCCACATTCAGAGCAAACCCTCACAACAGAAACAAAAAGACAGGGCCATGTCATGGCCATGTCTTCTGTCTGTGACTACTTACAGCTCTCTCAGGTTGGGAAGGTTGTCAAAAGCTTCAACATCAATGGAGGTCAGCTTGTTGTGGCCAAGATTTCTGGAAAAAGAGAAGACAAGAGGAAATGTAAATACAAATGTGGTTCAAGTCCTTCAGCGCAGACAAGGATGACATTTAAAAACACGCACAATATCTGTCATAACTGTTTTTGTATTTGTCATTGCCATTTTTCACTTGTTTGAATAGAGATCCTGATCGATGACACCAATTATGTCTCCCATTTGACAAACAGCCTCATACGTCCGTATTAAGTATGTCTGAAAACACTGCAGTACATCCAGTGGGCTGGCCTTCTAGGAGGGCCGGATCAATACTGTCGATACAGATTGTCTCTCTCTCCTGGCTCACTTTCCAAACATCACCCGCAGGCCATTCATCTGCATTAGTCAATTTGCACTTTAGGCAAACAGTGTATTTAATCGCTGGCACTTGACTTGTACGGAGGCTTATCACCGAGCGACTTGTCCGGTGATATAGCGTTACCACCGTCAGAGTGGGGAGGAGGGGGTGAACCAACCGAACACTGCATTTTGGATTGAGCTTCCCACGGCACATGAATCAAATGTACTTCACGCACAAACAAGTGCTATCTGTGTCACACACCTCCTGCCCGGCTGGCATGCGGCTGGTCAGTTGGCAGAGAGACGGCTGCAGTGAGAGTGCTGCCTGTGCATTGGGGTTAGGCCAGATGAGACAAAGGGAGCCCACAGCTCCGAGCCGCTCGCCTCCCCGCCCCTCCATCCCTCTGTCCAGACGTGAGAGACGGCCCAGGAATGCTTCACAGGCCTGCTGAGAGTTGGCTGCTTGTTCCCAGACACTGGGGACACTTTTACCTGATGCAACACATTCCTCATCCTCTTGTCCCACTAAAAGACCGCAGAGGGTTTAGGGGCTGAACCCTGTTACTTCATGTCATTAATTCTTCATTTAAGAGGAAGTCGGCATGGATATTATGGAAGTAAATGTGAGGAGGCTGGGTCAGAACCAAAGCAAAGGACTGTAAACGATGTAATACTGTTTATGCCCATCAATCTCAATCTCCACCCCACTTGACAGATTTCCCTTTCTTGTCTTCTGTGTTTGATTGCAGATAATGACAGCCTCGCTCCGCAAATCTTCCTCCCTGCCTGTGTGTGTGTGTGTGTGTGTGGTGTGTGGGGGGGGGGGGGTGAGGAGATAATAGCAGAGCATGTGTCTAGCCTGCAGGCATTGGCCTGACAGGGAGCTGAGCATGTGTGTTGCTGGATTTACCAGCTCCACGCAACCTATCTTTTACTGGATTTATATTAGCAAAAGCCGGGATAATACATGATACTTTTTTAGGTACCACCTCTAATAAGGTTCAAAGCAAGCAGACACTGTAGAGTTGAGTTAGATCCCTGCAGACCACTGATTGGTCAGAGAGAACTGTCATTTTTGCGACATGGGACATCCTGAAATATTTAAGTAACCAACCATACATACATATACATATGTGTGTGCTTTTCTTTGACGTTGCCATTTTTGTAGCTCCTCCGTTTACAAAAATGCTGTGTATAAAAATGCTGCAAGCTTACTTCTAGATATAGCTATAGATATAGCTATAGATATAGCTATAGATATATCTAGATATAGATATAGCTATAGATATAGTTATATATATATATATGCGACGCTAGGGATGATCTTGCGCGCGATCTTGTGACGATTCTCTGACGAATCAGCAGTCGAGAGTGTTGACGTCACTAGTTCAGCCCTGGCCCTGGCCTGATAGAACCACGATTTTATGGGGCCGGAAAAAAGAGGGAAAAAGTACCCGCTAGCCGGTGCTACGCTATATGGAAAGTAGTGCTGGGGGGAAACGATTATTTTGAAAACGATTAATCGGGCGATTATTTGATCGATTAGTCGACTAATCGAACGATTATTTTTCTGTTGTTCATTTCATAAAAACGTAATGTAAAAAAAACGTAATGTAAAAAAAAATGTTTTCACGATACTGTGTCTCAGGGGATCTTAATATTTAAGAACCTATTAATGTGTTATACCAGATTAACGGAAATAATCTCAGTTAATTGACGATACAAACCATGTTTACCAAAACAAAACACAAGTATCATAAGAAGCATCTAAATGACCCCTGAGCGAAAAATGCTAACGGACATTGGCACAGAACTCAAGATAAAAGTACCCTTATTACTTATCGTAGCTGCACTTACAAGATATCCGATTAAAGCTGAGACTCCACAGATTATGTAGGTATATAGTATCATCACTGAGTGATCCGGACTCGCGACAGGGGAAGCAAATACAGTCATCACAACACGTACCTTCACAGAGCTTCTAGGGAGATCGTCTTACCACCGTAGCTGTCAATCTGATCAAAAGACGTGTTCAATGACATTACAATGAGAAAAAACGCGGCTGAATCGGTTAATCCATAGGTTTTTAACGTCTATGTATAAAAAAATGATTGAATTTATAATCCATAATTCCATTTTATGTAAAAAATCGGAGAGCAAATGCTAGCTGCTAATGGTAGCCACCACAGCTAGCTGCTGCTTCTGCTAGGCTATGCAGCAGTCTCAGTGAGATATAAATATATAAATATCTTTGCGTTTTGGACTAACTTTAAAATATTCCCATGCTTTTGAAGACCTAGGGCGAGATGTTTTCGTTTGGGGGCTTCGTGCGCAATCCTGTGAGGAGGAGGTGGTAGCCGTTTCAGTCTCCATTGTGTTTGAAGTGCGATTGCGAACTGCTTGTTGCTTTGGGTGACCCACGTGTGTGTAGCGACGCGTCGACGCGGAAATATGTCGTCGACGATATTTTGACAGCACTAATGGAAAGGCCACCAAAAACTGGCCTGGCCACTTGAGGACGATTAAGGACGCTTAAACGGGGCTACCCGCTGCAGTGGAAATGCGCCATAAATCGTTGTACAGGAGGCAATTACCTCGTTATGGTGGAGCTAAGTGAAAAATGACAGCTTTCCAATGGGCCGCCTCTGCCTGGAGGTACATTAATTCACACACACGGCTCAGACAAGATGAACTTGGTATAGCGGTGTCGTCTGGAAGAGCAATCTGTAGCTTTTATCAACCTGCTTTTGGCACAAAACAGGTTGAGATATTTTACCCAGTGAACCTTGAGTTACAAGCGTATAAAAGATTTATCCAGGGACACCGACTCCAAAGGGGTTTTTTTATTTAGCATTTTAAGGTGGAGGAAATTGGCTATGCACATATTTATAGCTCCTCAATCTCAACACTTACAATAAAAAACAGGGCAAAACAGAACGACTAAGAAAGAAAGGCAAGTCACGTTTGAGAGCCAAACCTGCCGTACTGGTGCTAAAGGCCACGGCAACAAACAGAACGGGCCCTTTGTGTGAGTGTGCAAGCATGCATGTGCCTCTTTCTCAGTCACCGATGGTGTTTACACAACGGAGACTTTTCCCCTTCATCTCACTCTCAGCCAGATTTATTTTCTTGCCTATCAGATTAGATACATTTCACAGCTTTTTAACACCTACTGTATGAAGCGATGGTGATAACACCCATTTCCCTCTACCTTCCCCCCTCACTCCTGTGGAAGGAGGGGAGGACTCCAGTGCTAAGTGTGGTTAATGCTTTCCAGAAAGTGACCTTACAATCATGCAGTTTCTGGAAGAAGCCTTGAAACCATTAGAGTTTTGGACTTTGAGAGATGTAGACACCAACACTGTCAGGAACAAACACACAGAGAGAACAAACCGGCGACCTCCACAGGTTGACGTCATATTATTTAACCAGCCGGGGGAAAAAAGGATATATAGAGATGCGAACAGTCGCTGTGATTAATCACGGCAAACACTACAAAGCAGTTTCACTTAAAGCTTCAAACGCAGCATTCCATTGTACGGTACAACTAGTTTAGACAAATGGGCAGGACTGTTTGAGATTAGTCAGCAGGATCTAAATCAAAAGATCTCTCTGCCAGGTACTTAACCAAAGAAAGTGTGTGATAATTCAAGGCCGCATGTTGAGCCAAATGCTTACTTTCCCACTGAAGTCAAGCCGTTCTGACTGGTGCCAAGCCAGGTGGGCATTTTGTACATTCTTTTTAAATCATTTGTATTTACTCAAAAGGACAATAAAGCAAATAATGAAAATGTGCAGTAATGGCATTAATCACTTTGTGAAAAACATGAGAAACATCGTATAGTTGTACTGGCGGTACACTCCAAGACAACATTTCTGAAGTTAAAACTACTTGCAAAATATTCACAAATATAAAAAACAGGCCCCATTTAACATGGACCATCTGTTCTAAACAGCTCTAGCCAACACTTCAACTGTGTTTAACAAACTGCTTGCCATCAGTGAGCACAAAGGTCAGCATAACCTCTTTCTGTCGGCAGAGCTGGAAACGTGAAACGAGAGGGCCGGTCTGGGATAAAGAGGTGCAGTTACACTTCCACCTTCCAACTCAAAACACCCGCCACAACGCAAACACCTCCCCACACCGTACAAACAATAAACACAAACAGTGAGAGACTGTTAAATATCAAGAAGGAAAATAGCATTGCTGCAAAACAAGAACACCCCAAATAGGCAAAAATCAGAAACAACAAATAATCAACCGCTTGTTGCCCTGAAGCAGTGCCACTAGTTCCAATCAGTTAAATAATCAACTACTCTTAAGATGAACTCGTCCATCAAGAATAAAAAACAAGCATTTGCTTATTTCCGGTATGAGGTCTGTTTACAGGGCTCGACATTAATGACTGGCCGATGGCCCGGGGCCATCTAGTATTTAGCTCGGGCAATGAAGCCTCACCTGCTGGTTGCCCGATCGGGCAATCTATTATGTCAGTATCATGCAGCTCGTGGATCCAGTAATGAGTGACCCGACAGTAAAACTAAACATATCTATAACTAGTTACGGTAGTTTGAGAGGTAATTAAAATAGCTACGTGTGATATTCTAACCTGAAGTGTGTGTTTTGTCCGCTCACCGCTGCATGTGATCATGCAGAGCTGCGTGTCGACTCGTCAGCAGCAGCTGATCTCTCTCTCC